GGAGGGACACAGAGAAGGCTTGTGATGCGGAAGCGCTGGATGTGCTGTAGCATCTTCTCAAAGTCAAAGGCGGGCATGATGTATGCAGGGATGTTTAGATGGGGATAGATGGAGATGAAATATGTTTGCGCGTATGCGTGATACATGGGGAGAAAGGCGAGGCCCTTGGTGCGCTTTTGGAGCTCGGGGTCAGGCTCTAGGTCTGAAATAAGGACAACACCTAAGCCGTTGGCAACGTATGAGGTGTGAGTGATCTCAACGCCTTTGGGGACGCCCGTTGTGCCGCTGCTATAGTTGAGACAGCAACCTGCTGTCTCTGGATCTGCGGGTTCTGTCCATTCCCATTTCTTAGCTTGTGCTTGATTATCAGCTACAAGGTCAGTCCACATGCGAAGACCATCCTTCGTAATCGAGGCTGCGATCGGGGTTGTTCCAACAGGCGGGAGCACAGATGGATCGATAACAAATATGTTCTCCTTTGGAAGGCCGACCGTCTCAGCAGCCTCTAAAGCGGTAGGTAGTTGGTTCGCAACAACAAACATATGCGTGCTCTCAGAGTTTTTGAGTTGATATGCAAGCTCTCGTGGTGTGAAGGCAGGATTGGCACCAGTGAACATTGCACCGCTCATCAAGATGCCGAGGAAGACGCATGGGAAGTAGATGTTGTTGGAGGAAAACATCAGCACTCTGTTTCCTGGCTTTAGACCGGCTTTCATGAGACCAAGGGCGACTTGTTTGGAGAGAAGTCGGAATTGCTCCTTTGTGAGAAACTGCGTGTCTGGACGGTCTGCATCAATGAGGATGGGCTTATCGCCCTCCTCCATGGGCTCAGAGGCTGAACCGAAGACCCATTGCTGCAGGGAGCATTTTGGGATGGGCTTAGACCATCGTGAATGAAGAGCCATATTGAACAGAGATATCAGACAAACTTGAGAACAATGCAAACAGATTTCACAATCATTCAAGAGAGGTCAAGCATGAGAAAGAGGAGAACAACAGATCAATTACGGGCTATTTAACACATTTCCCCGGCCTACAGCAAGCTGAACAGCAAATCTGGGGTAGACCAAGCTATTTCGACCACCAAATGATGAATTCCCATGGCAAATCCGTGTGGGGTAGCAACCAATCTTTCCTCCTTTGGGCACTGCGACCCCGCGTTTCGACCCTCGGCTCGCTTGCGACGATCGAGCATTCGACAGAAAAAAGCCGAGGCACGATCTGGTGGACGGATTGAGAGATAGCTTGGATTTTGGAAAACGGCTGCGGGTTCCTTGATCCGAAAAAGGTGGGGGAGGTTGAGTGAGGAGGGTTAGGTTTGCGAGATGCGATGGAAGTGAGGGTTTGGCGATTCGGTCAATCTTTGAGTTTCGGTGTTTTCCAATTGATGTAACATGGTAGAAAGTCAATCTGAAGGATTTGGTTCTGAGTGGTTGGACAAGAAGGTTCACGGCTCAGAGTGGTAATGAATTGAAGAGTGTGTATCACGCTGACTAAGGCTTGATCAGGGATTAAAATAAAGACCAGTGACATGTAATACAAGCAAGCTCACTCTTGTCAAACGCTCATCCTTCCGAACAACGGCCGTCACCGCGATTTGGAGCCATGCGTGCGTCCTCATTCACCCAAGATCCTCTGCCTCGGCTGCCAAGACTAAGTCGCGAAACGAAAGTCGAGTCTGCATATAAATCAGTAAATTGTATCATTTCCATCCGCAGCCGAACGGAAACTCACCGCTTATTGCCCTTATCGGTCGTGGTAGTCATGTAATGATGCTGCTCCTCTGGGGTCATGGCGACCCATTTCTTGGCCTTCTGGTTGTTTCTCCACCGATAGTAAAAGAAGGTTCCGGGATATTGAACGAGCTGTGAAAATGTGAGTCTGACTTCATCATTTACAAAGGCGATGAATGATACTTACACACATCCATACACAAATGACGAGTAGACCTGTATTGGCTTTGAAGTATCGTGGCGAGTCGCTTGGTTGATAGACTATGATACGTCAGTGACTTAGCTCACGCGGTGTCATGGGGACTCACTGTTTGCTCCGATCATTCCACTGACTTGAACCCACATATTGTAGAGTCTATACGTTGTCAGACACGATACCTTGTAGCAATGCGAGTACTTACGATGCTGAGACTGTTCTGTTCTGTACCGATCCTGCATTTCTGCTCGTCCACGCGACTTGAATGGGATGAGTGCTAGGAACTGTCAGAGAAGCGCGCTCCGTTGAGTGGAAAGATACTCACTATGGAAAAGACAGAAGAACGGTCGAGATGGCAAAGTAAGCCCAAGGCCCGATCGGGTCAGGCAACGCAATGAGTGCCACGAAGCATGGGAGCAACCAAGCATCCTCCGCCATTGAGACAAAGCTTCGGTTGTTGACGAGTTCACTGAACGCTGTGATCGCAAGCATTGTGATGCAAGAGCCAACGATATATGGAATGGACAAAAGGTTGGACTCGATGACGTTGAAACCCAGTCCACGGAAGGATAACGTAAGATATTGGTTGACCGGATACTTGGGGAGGCCGAAGAGAAGACCGAGAGCGTAGAGAGGCCACATGTCGTAGTCTTTGGTGCATTCCCAGATTTGACGGACTGTCAGACCTTGTCGGTTGTACATGCCTCCCTTCTGGGGATCATCGCGAATAACTGCGCGTCGTCAGCACCCAGTCCGTCACTGATTGGTAAACTACTTACCAGAATTGACGATGATCTTCTGTTCATGTTCGGTGAAGTAACCCTTCGGATTCCACCAGCTCTTTGTTCTAGCAGGCGATTGAGGCATCAGGAAGAAGGATGCGACGCCGATCAGGACTGCAACTTCGTTAGCAGAGCGACTTTCGCGAACGAGATATCAACGTACAGGTGAAGGCTCCTTCGATGAGAAAGAGCCATCTCCAACCTTCGTATCCAAGCATTCCACGCATTGAGAGCATACCAACAGCTGCAAAACCAACTCCGATATCGACTGTGACCTGTCAGCTTGCATTTCCTAGCACCCAATCTGTTACCTACCGAGTTGCGAAGACATCCAGAACCAAGCTAGTCGTATTGGGAGCTGCGGGAGTCAGTAAGCCTTCTCGTGGTTCCCATCGAATTTAGACATACTCTTGTGCCAGTGTACCAGTAGCTGAGGTAAAGAATCGTGTCGCTGTCCTTTGTTAGGTTTGTTTCAGGACAATATGGCGAGGAGACCTACGGGATGAAGCCGCCTTGGAATGTTGCACTAGAAGTATTAGCAAGAACTCAGGTCGTTTGTTCTCAGAAGACTCACATGAGATATCTTGTAGCAAGGAATGATGCACGGCCCTTCAAAAAGAACTGCATCGCCGAGATAAGGCTGAAGATACAGAGCTGGATAGGAATCCACATATCCGGACCAATTCTACAGCAAGTTTAGTATGAAGACAAACGAGAGGTTTTCAATGGGCTTACCGCTTTGAGATCAGCTGCGAGGGCAACTCAGCAACAAGGAAGCCAACTCGAGAGATGGTTTGTCCAATATTCTGCCTCCGTCAGCGTTGCGTCTCCCATCTGTTGAAGGAACTCACGTAGTCGGCGTGTGTAATTCCCAAATCATCAAGCATGTTGTCCGATACTGCGTTCTGGATGTTATTCCTATCAATGTTCAATGCTGCAAACATGATACACATCCAAACCTACGAAGGTCAGTCTCCGATACCACTGCAGAACTGGGTTTGCTCCTACCATGATCTTCCAGTCGACCTTGTGGCGAACAGCATTCTCTTCACGCCATGTCCAGCGGAATTTGGGATCAAAAGCCGACCAATTCTCCCACTGCGGGTGGATATACAGTTCTTTATATCGTTCGATGTCGGGAGAGTCCCAGATACTCGGCTGCGTCGCGACCTTTCTTCGAGTCAGTCTCCGTCTCCATAAAGGATTATCGCTCTCGTCCCTACCGCATCGAGATCGTAGGTGTCGTTCCTTCGAGGCTTTCTTATTCGCAGAAATCGTAGGATCGCATCTCCCATTGCCGCTTCCATGCGCTGCCCCTGCTGAGCAGCCAGGGCCGGTGCGGTCGGAGGCACTGAGTCGCTTGGATATCCATCGTTTTCGGCTTTGCTTTTCTCTTTGAGACTTCCGTTGTCAGAAGGAGAGTCTGATACTCCCGACGACGGGACGACGGCAGGTTGATGATGCGACATAGTGCAATCGTTTCCTTGACCGAATCTTGATATGATACAGCACGCACGAACACTACAAAACGCGAGAAAGCGGTCACATCACTGCTACTTAAACAATTTCCAACTCTTAATGTAACCCTGCGAGATATGAGCCCCAAATAATAAATTGGGGGTCAGCCATTGCGAGATCAACGTGCACCGTCGCTTCGATACCCAAGTGGTTCTATGCGAGTAATATCAATGCAAAAACTGCCTATACTAGTCAATAGGAGACATGCTTCCGACAAAAATTGGTCGATCTTCCGAGGAAATGCAGAAATTTTGAAGAATCGTTACATCAGGGCCCATCACCACTGACTTTGTTGCTTGCGACATCGATTGGCAATATGCGGATCCAATGTCGTGATCGTTTCAAAAATGTCATCACGACAACTATGGGGCGAGCCTTGGCTTAAGCTTAGAAACAAGTTTATACATAATGTCCTAATGTTTAAATATAAGTACATACAGAAAATTCACGATGAGTTTATTGATTACTCAATCTCTAAGTCTACGACAATTTGTTTGCCTACATTGCTCTTCTGCAAAGTTAACAGGCCAATGAAACACGACCCAAGATTCACCGTCGGCCAACATTTATAGAGTATGAAAACAGTACCTTTCGTGTTTAAAGTTTGCCGATTTATCGGTAAACCCTAGTGCGGACAAAGAAAGATAGGCTGGACTGGATAAAGCCCAGTGATGTCTTTATCACGCAGTACCGTATCATAGACGACCCGGACCCATGGCCTATTCTTTCGGATGATCGTTAAATATCTGAGGCATTTCCATCATCTACACATTACTTTTGGTTGTTCTTGCTACCCTCGCTCTCTTGCTTGTTCCATCCCGGAATCAGTTCATTGTCCGCCTCCCCCTCATCGTCACTCGCATCCCTGTTCTTCAACACTCTCCTCGCCGCTCGTCGTCCTACTACCGGAAGCTTCTCAACACCAAGATCCTTTGCCGACTGCGGCAGTAGTTTGGGATCGAGAAGTCCTGCTTGGACTAACACGCTGGCCTGATCCCAGTAGACATGCTCCTGGTACAGTCTTCCACCTCTGACTGCAACGATGCTCACCATGAGAATCTCAATCTTCTTGTTCGTAGGTGGAACTCCTGGGAGCATCCACTGGACTTGCTCGGTATGCTTGAACTGAACGTGCATTTCGTCGACAACGCGATCAACTCCGATAGTACGTGATAATAATGTGATCTTGAGTGAGGGCGGAGTTGTGAATGATTCGGAGTAGAAGCGCTTCAGCTCAGCTGCGCCAGTTGCACCGGTTAGAGTTGGCATGTAAGTGACGTGAGGGGTCTTGTGCGTGGTGAAAGTCGATAATGCTTTGCCGAGGTTCTTAGAAAAGAATTTACCTATTGAAAGTCAGTTCTACTCGAGAATCCCCCATTGTGAGGCGACAGAGACTTACTCTGCAAGTTATGCTCGAGAACAAGCTCTAGATCCGGGTTGATGCCAAACACCTTCCTAGCCGCAGCCAAACTTCGACTCCAAGCCAGCTCCGCCGAAACAGCATCATACTCATCCAGATCATGCTCAGCGAAGCCAGGCTCAGCTTCATATGTGTAGCTGGGATATGCGAGGTCAAGCTTCCCGCCAGTGCCCATGCCACTCTGGATCTTGGTGCGCCTCACGCGTTTCTTGCCTTGGATACCCACCATTTGAGATTGCTTGACAACACCGACTTCTTCGCCTGCTGCTAGATGAACAAGGGCGCTAATGCTGCTGGGGAACTTTCCATTGGTATCTGGGATGCGGGTTGGGTAGTAGGCGATGAGAAGGCCGAGCTTGAATTCGGGGTTGTTGTCGAGAATGTGAAAGTGCTCGAGACAAATAGCTGCTGCGTCATCGTAGGCTACTCCCGGTCAACACTCCTGCTATCTTCTTTCTTCTTTCTTCCCAGTAATATGTTCACTTACCGACGATTCCAAACTTTTCACAGGGACCCAAGTTTTCCCTGCTCAACGACTTGATCTTCTTCAGATATCCATCACCGCAGCTCTCCATTGAGATATACTCTACATCAAACCCCTCATCTCTCCACTCAGCTAGAGTGACCTCGTCAAAATCGTCATTTTCACCGGTTATGTAAAGTTTTGGAGGATTGCGTGGGAAATCGCCCGAGAGAAAGTTCTGGTCTCTGTGATTGGTCCTGTTGTCTGAGATGATCTGGACGTTGCGCCCCTCAGCCTCTGGGACGGCGGATTTGATGAGATTTGGAATGTTGATGTTCATATTGGCAATTCTTTGATATTATAATTTACAAAATTTGAGAGGTCAGAGGATGCGAATAACCTGATATGTTCTTGTCCACTTCCAACTTCCAAGTTTCAGATCAAACAGTTGACCCTGTTTGAGCGTGATGATGATGTCAGAACAGTACGTGTTGCGGCTGACTCATCCGATGCTGCGTCTTGATTTGGCCATGTTGAAATCTTAACTACCCTGCAGTTCCTCATCTTTCGCTGTTCTTCGAACATTCGAACATTGATAAGAATGTTACGCGCAATAAATCAGCCAAGGGCTGTCAATTAAGCTTCTTACTTTGATGTACCAAGTTGCCATTTTGGGAGCTAAGCACGACTACAAGCAATTCATCCTTCGGTCATGCTAGGCATCCTCCCTGGCCTGATAATCGACGGCAAATATCAAGCGGTGTGTTTGTGACATTGGGTTTGGATCCTCCGCTTTTTTTATCTCCAAACACTTGATCATATGGCTATAGTGAAGTAGTCAGCCGCTTATTTATAATCTATCTAGCTTTGTGTCGACAAAAAGTCAGACAGCGTCAGCACGGTCCGGATAAAACCGCCTGTGCTTACAAAAGCCTCATGTGCACCCTATGGATGTATACGTGAGACATCCTAATATCATTATCAAGAAACTTCACTACTGCATCAACCTTGGCTGACCACCACTTAGCTATCCTCCGGGATTCCAGCCTTAGCAGTTATGCATAAAAGCTTTGTCCAGATACCATTCAGGCACAAAAGCGAAGCTATTTATGAGGGAGTCAAGAGTCGTGCTTAGCAACCAGTGTCCAAATAACGTTGAAAGCGATCAAGTTTTTATGCATTGCTTATCTTCTGACTGGCGAATGCGGTGGTTAGTGCGAGTGCGAGTGCGAGTGCGACGCTGCAAATAACGTAATACTTCGATGCAGCCGGATTACATGGTGTGATGCCCAAGAAAATATTGACAGATTACTTTCAGACTACTTAAGATGCTCTGGAAACCTCGCAAGCTTGGAGATGACGCTAAGAAATTGTTGAGAGGTTCTGAGTAACCATGGCGGACACCAGAATGAATCCTCGAGAGCCAATGTCAGTATAACTAACAAAGCAAGAAGATCAAGGCTACTGACTGTAACAGACACGAGAAGGACACTAAAACTCCAGTCAATGCTTCTATGAAGGCCGGAAATAAGGAGAAACCGGATGCGCCGGCGAATCTCGAGGCAGGTGTACATCAAGATGAGACTGTTGAGGGGGAATCGGTACACGGAGAAGATATCTACCTTCATGGATTACCCTTGGTACTGATGACACTTTCACTGATGGTCGGTGTATTGATGATTGCTCTGGATAATAGCATCATTGGTAAGAAATTCACTTCTGTATTCTTGGACTTCTGCTGACTGGCTGAAGCTACTGCTATACCAAAGATTACGAGCAAATTCGACAGTCTCGGCGACGTTGGTAAGTTAAACCCATATATTCGAGCAAGCTTTTCCACTGATAGTCTTTCGGCAGCCTGGTATGCATCGGCCTATCTCCTCACCCAAATGTCCTTCCAACCTACCTTCGGCAAGATCTACACCTTCTTCAATCTCAAATGGGTATACTTGATCTCCTCCATAATCTTCGAAGGAGGTTCCATTCTTTGCGCTGCCGCACCGAGTTCAGCAGCCTTCATTATCGGTAGAGCTATTGCTGGACTCGGTGCAGCGGGTATCTTCTGCGGCGCCATGATTATTATTTCCAAGATTGTGGAGATGAGAAAAAGACCGTTGCTTCTGGCAATCATATCCAGTATGTATGGTATTGCTTCAGTCATTGGCCCTTCACTGGGCGGTGTTTTTACTCATTCTAAACAACTCACTTGGAGATTCTGTTTCTGGATCAACTTGCGTGAGTTCCCTCTCCAACACATCCATCTCAGTGCTCATTGATGGCGAAGCTCTGGGTGCTGTAATGGCTCTTATAATCTGTTTTTACTATCCTCTCTCACTCGGTGAAGCTCCAGATAGCGACCATAGTCTCGAGGAAAAGATACTTGGCCTCGGCCTCAAAAGCGCAGTGATTCTTGCAGGAGCTCTGATATGCCTCTTCCTTGCTCTTCAATCGGGAGGCACCAAACATCCTTGGTCCGATTCACGTGTATGGGGCTGTTTGGTTGGCTTTGGTCTTCTTCTGACACTGTTCGTGTTCATTCAAATACGACAAGGAGAAGCGTAAGTCCCCTCTCATCTCAGGCGCCTTCTTATCTGACGTCTTCGTCTCTGACTCATATAGCGCCTTGATTCGCCCTCGCATCATCTCACAGAGATCCGTCTTCCTAGGATGCCTGTTCTCTGCGTTGTATCAGGGAGCTATGACCACGCAGAGTTACCATCTGCCGTTCTATTTCCAGGCTGTCAAAGGAGTGGACCCCCAAACATCCGGTGTTGACATTCTTCCTCACGGGGTTACCGTCACGATAGCTACTCTTATTACCGGCTCTATTATCACTTGGCTAGGATACTATGTACCGTTCATGTGGGCCGGCTCAACCATCTTCACAACTGGTGCAGGTCTGCTGTACACGATCTCGCAAAACACCCCAACGGCACGATGGTTCGGCTACGAAGTTCTAGCTGGGGCTGGATTTGGTATAGCGATCCAGATCCCAATATTCGCTGTACAAGTCGTATTGGGTGCAGGTGACATTCCCCTGGGAACAGTGCTGATCATCCTATCCCAAGCCCTGGGAGGTTCAGTGGGTCTATCCATCTCCCAAAATGTTTTCCAGAACTCTCTCCGCCAAAGGCTAAAAACAATAGCCGACATTGACATACAAGCCGTTATAGCGGCAGGTGGGACTGATTTGGAACATGTCGTGTCGGGTGACTCTCTCGCCTCCGTCAGAGATGCGTTTAGGTATGGTATCTCAAATGCCTTCCTTGTATCGACGGCACTTGGCGGCGTCGCCTTTTTGGCAAGTATCGGAATGGAGAGAAGGAAGATCAAGTCAAAGAAGGAAGGAGGTGAGTAAACGACCTCGTGGTCGACCCTTGAAGACGATGAAGAGGGTGTATAGCGACGGCTATATAGCCGAGCGGGGAAGGATAGTATGAGGCCGATATCAACTATGATCCATAGATAGCACGCATCTCGGGCCCATCTTGATAGAAATCACATGTTTGTTCGGCATTTCTATCGAGAAAATAGTATGTTTCGTTTCTTTCACCGTTTTCGGTAGAGAATTAATCCAGCTGATCTTCATCTCCCCCTGTTGCATCGTTCGGATGATATACCCTTTTTGCTATATCAACTCCGTAGAGCGACATTTCCGCGGACATGATTGGACAATTAACAACTAAAATCAAGCTTTCGTCCGGAATTCCATGCGCTCTTCACGGCACATTCACACATGACCTTATAATTCGGAGATAGTGTACGAATTGGATGCTAGATTCGGTGAGATAAGGTTGATCATACTGTACTGGTTACTAGTTGGCTTGCATAGTATAAGACCGCACGGCCGTTCGATGTTTCTATCTTCTGCAGTCGAGGCTCAATTGATACGAAAATGACTCTCGCTAAGGTTGCTTTCACCCTAGCCAACTTGGTGGTCGTGGGTTCAGCTGCGAAGAATGTCGCAGATGGGTTTGTTGCTGCACCATACTATCCCGCTCCTTATGGGGGATGGGACGAAGCATGGGCAGATAGCTATGCCAGAGCTAAGAAGATGGTCGACTCTATGACGTTGGCTGAAAAGACCAACATCACAGCTGGTACTGGTCTCTTCATGGGTAAGAATCATCGCAAGAGAAACGGAACCCTGCTAACAGCTACTAGGGTACGATTCTTTGTCTCTCACATGACTACGTATACTGACATGGCAGACCTTGCAATGGTAACACCGGATCAGCTCATCGCGTTGGCTTCCCTCAGCTCTGTCTCAACGACGCTGCCAATGGCGTTCGACTAGCCGACAACGTAACTGCTTTTCCAGATGGCATCACAGCCGGTGCAACCTTTGACAAGAAACTCATGTATGGACGCGGTGTAGCAATCGGAAAGGAAGCACGCGGTAAGGGCGTAAACGTCTGGCTTGGTCCGTCCGTTGGTCCTATCGGGCGTAAGCCAAAGGGTGGACGCAACTGGGAAGGCTTTGGAGCAGACCCATCGCTACAAGGTATTGGCGCACGAGAGACTATCAAGGGTGTCCAGGAGCAGGGAGTCATTGCTACAGTCAAGCATCTTATTGGAAATGAGCAGGAGATGTATCGACGACAGACTACTGATCTTGTATCTCCTGCATACTCGGCAAACATTGGTGAGAGCTGTCGTCATTCTTGGTATTACGTAGCTAACCATCATAGATGATCGAACTATGCATGAGTTGTATCTCTGGCCTTTTGCGGAGGCAGTAAAAGTCGGAGTTGGAGCGACTATGACTGCGTATAACCGAGTTGGTCTATCTATTGCATCTCACTCACCTTGGCTAACATGTGTAGGTCAACGGCACTATATCCAGCGAGCACTCATATCTCATCAACGCTTTGTTGAAAGAGGAGCTGGGCTTCCAAGGCTTCGTCATGACAGACTGGCTCTCTCAGATCACTGGCGTGCAATCAGCCATTGCGGGAATGGACATGAGCATGCCTGGTGATACTATCATCCCTCTCTTTGGAAATTCTCTATGGATGTACGAGCTAACCCGCTCGGCACTCAATGGCTCGGTTCCCATGTCGAGACTGAACGATATGGCGACTCGCATCGTGGCAACATGGTATCAGTTCGAACAAGACAAGGACTTTCCCTCTGTCAACTTTGACACAAACACATACGACAGAGTCGGTCCTCTGTATCCAGCAGCATGGCCTAACTCACCCTCGGGAGTCGTCAATCAGTTTGTTCAAGTTCAGGACGATCATGATGAGATCGCCCGACAGATCGCCCAAGACGCCATCACTCTCCTCAAGAACGACGAAAAACTACTTCCACTAAGCACCAAGAGCTCACTCAAGGTCTTTGGCACTGGTGCACAAACCAACACCGATGGCGCCAATGCTTGCGTCGATCGAAGCTGCAACAAGGGCACGCTAGGTCAAGGTTGGGGATCGGGTACAGTCGACTACATGTATCTCGACGATCCCATCGGCGCTATCAAGAAGGAGGCCGCGGACGTGACATTCTACAACACTGACAAGTTTCCATCTGTTCCGAGCCCTTCAGACGACGATGTCGCCATTGTTTTTGTCACTTCTGATGCGGGTGAGAATCAGTACACGGTTGAGGGTAACAACGGTGATCGGAATGCGGACAAATTGAACGTTTGGCATAACGGCGATGCACTTATCAAAGCTGCCGCCGCCAAGTACAAGAATGTTGTGGTTGTCATTCACACTGTCGGGCCTGTCCTCGTCGACCAATGGATTGATCTTCCATCGGTCAAGTCTGTCCTGGTCGCTCATCTTCCAGGACAAGAGGCCGGAAAGTCTCTGACCAACATCTTGTTTGGCGACGCATCGCCTTGCGGCCACTTACCCTATTCCATTACTAAGAAGGAGGACGATATGCCCGAGAGTGTCACCAAGCTCATCGACTCGGGCTTCATCGATGCGCCGCAAGATACTTACAGTGAAGGACTGTTCATCGACTATCGCTGGCTCAACAAGGAAAAGATTCAACCTCGGTATGCGTTTGGCCATGGACTGAGCTACACCAATTTCACGTACACGAATGCGACCATCAAGAGAGGCATCCAGCTCAGCCAGTACCCTCCCAAGCGACCCGCAAAAGGAAAGGTTCTGGATTATTCGCAAGACATTCCAGACTACAAAGAAGCTGTTAAACCCAGCAGCTTTAAAACCATCTGGCGCTACCTATACTCTTGGCTCTCCGAATCCGACGCAAAGTCCGCGGCCGCCAAAGCCGAGACGTCGAAATACCCTTACCCAGACGGCTACTCCACCGCGCAGAAGACGGCTCTCCCCAAGGCGGGCGGTGTTTCAGGCGGCAACCCTGCTCTCTGGGATGAAGCTTATACTCTGTCGGTGGTGGTGACTAACGCAGGTTCCAAATTCTCCGGCAAAGCTTCTGTACAGGCCTACGTCCAATTTCCGAGCGTTGCCGGATACGAGACTCCCGTCATCCAGCTGCGCGACTTTGAGAAGACCAAGGTTTTGGAGCCTGGCTCGAGTGAGACGGTGCAATTGACCTTGACCAGGAAGGACTTGAGCGTCTGGGATGTCGAGGCTCAGGACTGGCTTGTCCTTGATGGGGAGTTTAAGATTTGGCTGGGGTCTGCGAGCGATAAGTTGGACGCTGTCTGCTTCACTGACGATTTGGGCTGCGAGCACGACGTCAAGGGACCAGTATCATACGATTAGTCAATCTGAGGGAGAACCGAGGTTGCAGCCGGGGATTGATTAGCTCTGATCTGTCAAAAACGCCATGGGCGATCTTCATTTTTTGACCAGGCTGTGCTGCAACTGAATAGGGGATTGATTGCTTTACGAATTGACCAATAGCAAACATTGCTCTGGCTGGAATTATGAATTGTGCACTGTCTGTGACTGTCAGTGCATCTACCGCCCACTTGCCGCGATGCTTTTATGTAAACTTTGCACAGAGTTTCAGGTTGGACAAGAAATCTATTTTAGTGGGATTACCCTGTCGTCATCGTTGTTGCGATAACAAAATATGGAGTTTTTTGAAACGCACATTTCTCGCGCTTAGGTAACGGAGAGTCCACATCTTGCAAATACCGTCTTCTCGTTGGGAGTAGATTCAGTGGAGTTTGTCTCAAATCTGGGTGCTAATTTGCGGATCAAGGAGCTAAAAGTCTTAGGTCACTAACTTACCTGGCGATCGGGAGCGAGGTCAAGATTGAGCCCCTGTGATCAGAGGCGCCACTTGTTTATCGTCTCGTGAAATCGCCCGTAGTGCGGAACTTTTCGTTTGACGGCGCGGTAATGGAAATTAAGTGGCGGCTGCCTCTCTCTCTCATCTCTGCTCTGAGGAGCAGTCAAAGGACGTCAGATGTAACGTCGACCCTTGTATGATTGTCCTCCATTCTCCCGGAATCCTTGGGCCAATCTTCCCCGCCTTAACCGGCGCGTCGGGCTAACTTTTCACTCTCTTTTTTGGGGTGAGACAAAAAGAGGGAGGATTAATTCCGCTGACCACTCAGGCTCTCCTCGTGATGAGATCCTCGAGCTAGCGAATCAACGGTCTCTTAGTGTCTCTCGTTAGGCCGATCACCAGGGCCAGGGGTACCTTGCAGTGGGGTACGCTACTGGGACAATCTTGTCTCTTGTCTTGGGGCGAGAACGTGCAAGTGTCTGCTTGGCCAGTCTCGTTACCCAAAATAAGCATTCTTTGCGCCACGAGCAGGGTCTATACGAACCGACTTGCATTCGATCTGCACGTCGCTTCAGTCATTGATTGATTTCATATGTAATATTGCAGCCTCAAGTTGGCTGCAACAATAAGCACCAGAGGTTCCCCCTCACTGTCACTGCAGTGGTGGACTTGGAGGACAGGGGAAAAGGTATAAGCACGTCGGTTTAAATCACTCAATCAGTCAGGATCTTTGCCTTTTTCCCATGCACGTGAGCTCTCTTCTCTCTGTCTCACGTCATCTATCCCGCACACGTGTATACGAACCCCTCTGGGCATCAGATCAGTCAGTCACAGTCACAGCCAGATCCAGACCCAGACCCAGACCAAGGCAGACCCGGCCCGGGCAGCCCAACACACTAATCTCCAAGTACCTACCCCAACACAATAAATGACGATGTACTTACACTTGGCCTTTGTGGCTGCATCTTACTGACATCCACTGATTGGTCTCGCCGTTTCAGCTTACAGGGGTCCTACTGTACATACGCACATTAGCCCTGCAGCAAGGTCTTTGCTGTGTTGTGTTCGGGGCTAACGACGGCCAATCTCGTGGTGTGTGAATTATCGAGATGGCAGTTCAGTTCCCTCTTGAAACTAAAACTTGGTGTACGTACAGCACAGCACAGCACAGCCTGGTCCAACCGAACAGTCAGTTTAGTTGAGTTTGCTTCTGATTGCCCCGAGCGTCGACGCCTCAACTGAACGGGCCAATGTAACTTGCAGCTCCCAGCACCCGATGACTTTTTCCGCCTGTGCGTCTTTGTTCAGCCCGTCCCTTCATAAAATGTCCAACTCTGTTTTTTTCTGACCCGTCCTGTCCATGTTTAGTAACGCCCGAACAGACAGAATGGGTGTGCACACTGCATCGGGCTGCATATTGTGCACGTCTACTGCATGTACCTATTTAGGGGCGTCGTAAATAAAAACCGAAATCAATAAATATGCATCCTCCGTCTCCTAGCCCTTTTCTTCTCCCTCTCCAGCCCGCTCGCTCACTCACTCCCTCTCGTTTCTTCTCTCTTTTTGCCACTCTTGGTTTAGGCTTGTGACTGTCGCTTATCTCTCACCCAAGATGAAGTCTTTCTACACCTTGGCTTTGTGCCTTGGTGCCTTTTTCAATGCAGCCACTGCCATCCCACCAGAGGAGCAGGGACAACAGCCTGGAAAGTTCGCTGCTGCTCCCCCCGTTGGCTCAAACCCCATTGATCGCAAGGGATGGACTGTCAAGTGTTCCAGCCAGGCTTCAAATTACCCCTGTGGTAGAGCAATCGATGGTGACAAGAACACCTTCTGGCAGACTCCCTATGGCACAACCAACACGCCGCCTCCTCACACCATCACCATTGACATGAAGCAGACTCAGTATGTCAGTGGTCTCCAGATTACACCTCGCCAAGACGGCAACACCCGTAACTGGATTGGTCGCCATGAAGTCTACCTCAGCTCTGACGGTACCAACTGGGGAAAGCCCGTTGCCTTTGGAACTTACTGGGGAGACAAGTACCCCTGGATTACAAACTTTGAGACCCAGCCTGCTCGCTATCTTCGCTTTGTTGCCCTTTCTAACGTGAACTCCGACTATCCTTGGATTGCTATTGCCGACTTTGTTGTCTACAACGCTCTCAAGTACAGCCCTCCTGCTAAGGGTCTTGGAAAATGGGGTCCTACTCTTGATTTCCCCGTCATCCCTGTCGCTGGTGCCGTTGAGCCTGTCTCCGGAAAGGTCGTCATCTGGTCTGCTTACCGATATGATGCTTTCCAAGGCACTACTCCCCGTGGTGGCTTCACTCTGACTTCTATCTGGGACCCCAAGACTAACGTCATCTCCAACCGCAACGTTTCCAATAACCATCACGACATGTTCTGCCCTGGTATTTCCATGGACGGCGAGGGACAGATTGTCGTCACTGGTGGCAACGATGCCAAGAAGACTACCATTCTCATGCCTGATGGTAACTGGGTTCCTGGCCCTGACATGCAGATTGCACGTGGTTATCAATCGTCCGCTACCTGCTCTGATGGTCGTGTTTTCACCATCGGTGGTTCATGGAGCGGCCCCCGTGGCGGCAAGAACGGTGAAATCTATGACCCCAAGGCCAAGACCTGGACCTCCCTTCCCAAGTGTCTCGTCGGCCCTATGCTTACCAAGGACAAGGAGGGTGTCTACAAAGCTGACAACCACGCTTGGCTTTTTGGCTGGAAGAAGAACAGTGTTTTCCAGGCTGGTCCCAGCACAGCCATGAACTGGTACTACACCACCAGGGGAACTCAGGGTGACACCAAGGCTGCTGGTACTCGCCGAAAGAACGGCAGAATTGACCCTGACTCCATGAACGGCAACGTTGCCATGTTTGATGCCCTCAAGGGCAAGATTCTCACCTTTGGCGGAGCTACCAGCTACCAGCAGGCTCCTGCCACTGCTAACGCCCACGTTCTCACCATTGACGAGCCTGGTGCTATCGCCCAGACCGCTCTCGTTGGAAACAACGGTGCTGGTATTCACGCCCGTGTTTTCGCCACCTCTGTTATCCTCCCTGATGGAAACGTCTTCATCACTGGTGGTCAATCTTACTCCAACCCTTTCACCGACACCAACGCTCAGCTCGAGCCCGAGATGTTCATTTCCTCCTCCAACACCTTCACTAAGCAACAGCCCAACACTATTCCCCGCACATATCACAGTATGTCTCTGCTGCTGCCAGATGCTACTGTCTTCAATGGTGGCGGTGGTCTTTGCGGTAGCTGCAAGAGCAACCACTTTGACGCCCAGATCTTCACCCCTCAGTATCTCCTTGATGGCAACGGCAACCTTGCTACCCGCCCTAAGATCACTGCTGTCTCGGCCACTACTGCCAAGGTCGGCAGCACCATCACCGTCACTGCCAACAGCGCCATCAAGAGTGCTTCTCTCATCCGATACGGAACTGCGACGCATGTTGTCAACACTGATCAGCGCCGCATTCCTTTGGCCCTGACAGGTGCTGGTACCAACAAGTACTCTTTCAAGATTCCCAATGATTCTGGTATTGCCCTCCCCGGCTACTGGATGCTTTTCGTCCTTAACAACGCTGGTGTTCCCAGTGTTGCCAGCACCATTAAGGTCACTAACTGATCTAATGTCTACATTGCGACAAAATGATTTTTTTGCCTTTATAATACTAGCGAGGATAGTACAAGTATCCTAATTCATTATGTATATACTTTTATACCAATTGCAGTTGGATATATTGACATGGACGTCACTTTACTATCTAATACAAATCTCTTGCATGAATTTTCTGTTTTGGAGAACTTCACATGTGACTGCACTGCTCAGAATGGCGATGAACCAACTGCCGAGCTGACACTCATCGTCCTGACCATGACACTAGAGATAGTAAAATCATATTCAAATGCCGATAAAGTTTATCTTTAGATCCATGCTAACCTTCGTGACCGGGTCATGCCGTAATCTGTATAGCCCCGTGAACACGCAATACAAACCAAGAGAGGTTAATATTGTTTTAGGCCGACATTTGATCCATTGAGCTGGGATATCCCAACAAACCAAGAAGACGGGTTTCTTAAGACATTTGTCTGTTCAGCGACACTAGTGGCCATTGAGTTTAAACGAATCCGGGAACCAGGTTCACAACGCTTACAATTAGAGTTTTGAGGCTTCACGGGTAATGGCTGCAGAAAGATTGCAAATGACACTATCAGACGACAGAAATAGATACATTGCGTGTCAACATAGGCTGCGACCCTGTGGCTCACCCGAATGCAAGCCATGTTCGGCACGTACGGGAAAGCACTTCGTTCCTGCAGAGACATGCAGATGGCTTAAGCAGGGTCGGGACGAAGTACGCTCGGACTGTGCGTAAGTTATGCAGCTGACAGTCATTCATAAATGTGGCACAGACGAAAGGACGCTGTGTAAGACTGAGGACCAGTAAGTGGCTCGTGATAGGTGTCATCAGGATGACAGACGACATGTTCACGCCGATGGCATAGCTTCTTTACGAGACAATTCTAAGACATTTAGCACTAAAAATCACTAGCCGTAGAGGGAAACGTCCTATTTGTTGGGAGTAATTGCATCGTCGTTGCTGACAGCTTCATGGAGTCGTCGCGTTCATGTCTGAGATGACGTTCCGACAGCTGGGCTGCGCAGCTAACATCAAATAAACTAGATAATAATATCTTACGAGTATAAAGCATGTAAGTAAAGTCGCCATCTAATTTTAGTACCATACTCATGCCATCGAGCTCCAAAGTGCCTACTCAGACTTCTTCAACTTCGCCTCCAGCATCGCAGTGCATCCATAGGCAGATGGGTAAATTTTGACCAACTCCAGACCGGCAGCTTCAAAAATCTCTTCGAAATCGGCTTTCTTCTTCTCTTGGCCAGTCATGGCGAGAAGTGCGAAATCTAGCCAGTACAGGTCTGTGAACTTGTCTTTCTCGACCATGTCAGGAATCAGCTGGTCGCATATGATCAGACGGGAATCGGGTCCCATGGCTGATGCGGTGTTCTTGACGAATTCGATGCAGACTGGAGTATAGAAGTCGTGAAGGAAGCGGCGCATAAAGTAAATACGGGCGTCTGCGAAAGGTCAGTCGTTGCTATAAACCGGAGTCGTGGTTATGATGCTCTTATCGACTCCGGGGAGTCACTTACTCTTAACAGGCTGCAGTGTAAAGGCATCATACGTCATAAGTTCAAATCCTGGATAGTCCTTGGGATCCATCGAGTCAATGACACCAGGGAGGTCCTGTAGGATATACTTCGCGTCAAAGGCATCGCCAATGTCTTTGCGGATGGCAATGCACGACTGACCACGGCCGGCACCGATATCCACCAAGAAAGGTCGTTCAGGATCCTGAACCACTTCGTCTTTGAGTGATGCAAAGGGAAACATACCGACGACAGGCATCAGCTCATCAACAGCAACCATGTTGGCATTCCAAAGCTCACGTCGCTCTGGGTCAGGATCCATCTCTAACAGCTCATAGTATGACTTTCCAAGGTGCTCCTTACCAACCGAGTACACGGCAGGGGACTTGGTGAGATCAAAGACATCTTCAGGCTTGTGAGACTTGAGGTACTCAGGAAGATGCATCCAAGCACGGCTAAACTCCAACACAATCATGAAAAACGAACCCAAACCTCTTGGGTTCAGAATCCGTGAAAGGTCATTATGAGCATACGCATCAGGCGCCGTCTCAACAAAAACACCATGACTAACAGCAACACGGTAAATGCGCTGAATCACAGTAGTAGCCACATTGGTAATGCGAGCCAATTCCTCAGCGGCGATGGGACTTCCATCTTCGGGCATGGCGTGGTATGCCCGGATTCCAAGAATGGTATGGAAAGCGCACCCGAGACTGAATTGCTCCATTAGGTGTGTCATCTGATCCATGGGATCCTGGAAAGCTGAGCGAACTGCTTCTGTCTGCTTGAGGACATTTTGGTGACTGATGGGGTCATCCTCGTACGATTCAAGCTGGGCGACTAGTTTCTTTGCCTCTTCAAGGGCCTTTTCAGCTTTGGGATGCACCATTTTCGTTATTTGAGATTTCCGAGATATCGAGATGTGGCTTGGAGGATTCAACTGCTGGGTCTGGATTTGCGGAGATGGCAACGGTCACCGCATGTTCCGTAGACCATGTGAATAGCATATTCACTTAAGAGTGTTCCAGGCGGGGCACCACCTAAAGCCAAGAAAGGACTCAGATCATATCAGTTCATGAGCCTACGATTCCTCACAAGACAGGTTAGTAAGTGGGTATATATCCAGCCGAGGTTCTGTAATCCCGGGTAAAGTGCCTCAACCATGCAGATCACGACCCAATCAGAATATTATATCCGTGATTAACTGGGGTTTGAACTGCGGCACGGCCCAAGTGACGGAGGCTTGGTCCGTTGGCATGTATCGCAGTATCAAGGATCATTATCACTATGGCGAGTTTGTTTCGATATTTGCTCAACTTCTCCTTTTGAGCGTGTCCACTTTGCATGATTCTGATACACAAACGGTTGTGATACCAACAGTGTCGTAATGTCATCTCCTCGTGCTCCGGAAGAAGAGGCTATACAGCCTGATGCTGTAAGCTTATTCCCTTGAGGGCTGAAATTGTACTAAAAGGATTTGTCTAGGCTTTACAGAGTGTCACTGACGATGAGGTTGGTAGGCCCAACGATGCGACTCACCCAAATGGCTCCACTTGCTAATCAATGTGATGGAACGTAGGCTTACGATAATGAGAGTGAGCGGTCATCTTTGACATCTCTGACATCGTCTATTCTACATGGAAAGGTCGAGGGCGGAAGAACCTACGCCGTGTATGGCAAAGAGGGCAAGTCTCACAGAGCACATCGCTTGGCCAGTGCTAACAAACTTCAGAATATGGATTGCCAATGGATGAGGCTGAGCTTGATCGCATCGATATGTGCCATGCTAAATACTGCGCTTTGATTGGAAAGAACCGATACTTGGCGCCTCTAGAGAAGCCTCAGAGAATTCTGGATCTTGGCTGCGGCACAGGTTCGTGAAGTCTCATTTCTTTGGGAGTGAAAGCATTATATCGACCAGGAATTACCTACTGACAACTTTGATAAAAGGTATATGGTCAATCGAAATGGCAGAAGAGTTTCCATCTGCAGAGGTGAGTACAGGATCTTGCTGCCGTGGTTACATCGGGTGAGCTTTGACTGACGAGATCCCAGGTCATTGGGACGGATGTTGCACCGACACAACCTGACTGGTAAGCGATCGATGCGATAAAAACTGTGAGACTTTCTGAAACTGATGTCTGACAGGGTACCACCAAACTGTCACTTTGAGGTCGACGATATTGAAAGAGAATGGACATGGAAAGAAGATAGCTTCGACTTTGTTTATGCCCGAGATCTTCTACTAGCAATTCGAGACTGGCCGGCTCTGATCGACCAGACATACACGTAAGCCATGAATCGTCCTGCATGCGGTATCAATACTAATTCCACCAGACATCTTCGAGGGGGCGGATGGGTTGAGTTCCAAGCCATCGTCGGCGTTCTCGGCTGCGACGACGACTCCATCCCTGAAGACAGTTATCTCCGCAAATTCTCAACAATGATGGAGCAGGGCTCTGCGAAATTTGGTGCCAGTCTGACAGACCCCATGCGGTGGAAGGGCTGGCTTGAAGAGCGCGGATACCAGAATGTCACAGAGCGAGTTTTCAAGCTTCCTTTCAACCCTTGGCCCAAGGATCCGCGTATGAAGCTCCTTGGGGCTTGGGAGATGGAGAATCTGCTAAGTGGACTTGAAGCCATGGTGACGAGGATGTTTCAGAAAGGTCTTGGATGGACGGATGCTGAAGTCACTGTCTTCCTTGCATTTTTGAGAAAGGAAATTAAGAATCCAAGGATGCATGGGTATTGGCCTTAGTAAGTTTCCCATGGGAATCTTCAGCTGCCCTTAGAGAGCAAGCTGGGTGTCTTAATCATTCTAACATTTCTATAGCTATGTTGTTTACGCTCAGAAGCCAAAAGAGGATTGATGACAACAAGACTGAAGTTTCTATCTACGGTAAAGTCACCGCGTGCGTTCAAAGATAAGGCATTGGCAAGCGGACTATCAATACTACACCTTTGACGAGAAACGCAATTCGATCATTGGCATTCTGTTTATTTGACTCTCGATTACCCTGTAGATTAGGTTTGTCATGTCTTGCGAGTCAGGGTCACATTTGACGCTTAGACCTTTCCCCTGTTCCTCGCGTGGCGATCAGGGGTAAGTAGAATTAGGCCATTGGCTCACGGGGCTATCTTTCTGGCTTTTTTCGAGGGTTTCTCTGTCAGTATCTTTTCTTCCCCCTTGGGACTATGGAGTAGATTGCTCGAAGCCATGGGAGGATTCCGTGTCCCTGCAGGCCTGCGCTTAAGTTTGATTGATGCTTTGTCTAGCTCTAGCATAATCCTCCTGCCCTAAGACGTCATTTGATACCTAACAGAGATAGAGGCCCTCGAATCCATGCGTCTTGATTACATAGGAAAGCCAGATCACTAAAGGCTCCCGTGACACACAAAGCATGCGTCAATCTTGGAACAGTTTTTGACAGACGGATTTCACTGCACTAGCATGACTCAATTTGGCAACGTGATGAGCCGCACGGTTATACGCCAACGCATACCATTCCCAGACTCCACAGTAATCTATTATGCTTATCCAAAACCGTCATACTGAATGAAGGTCCTTTCGGACACCAGCCGAGCCATCAAAGGCTGTCCCAGAATCAAGGAAAAGGAGATGGAAATGAGCGAAGTTTCGTTATCTATTGCGATATTCCTCTGCACGGGGCGCTTTTGTCATGGGCGCTCAAGTGTGCCCTCAAGATACGGGTGTAATTAAACGAAGTCGACGGTGGATCGGCGTTGCATTGGCGAGAGTGCTATTCCGAAGATCCCGCGTCATAACCATCTAATGAACACGCTCATCATGTGAAGAAAGTATCAGTCAATAGTCAATTGAGACATTCAGGTCTCTCTTGTACCCTTTAAAAACTCCCATATACTAGGTTTACTGGAGGATTTATCTGGACGCTGAGTCACAGCCTTACAGGTTACAAAGGAAGCTATCCCCAACTCTCAGACCCCTGCAGCTCGACCTGGCCGATGATACGCCAGAGTCCCATCGACGTCATCCTTCTAGCAACACAAAACGACGATCTCTGGCTGAATCCAACGTTTTGTTTATTGCGATCGACTCGGCAGTTGGCGATGTTTCATCGCTCCACCGTCATGTGTTTCAACACCAACCATGGAGCCAAACAGAGCAGCGATGAACCATTCCCCCAGTCCATCCCAACTGTCGGTTCCATCCGATGTGCAAAAACGGCCTGAAGATCTAACTCTCGCTTATGCCGTGTAGTATCGTCTCCTATCTAGGGTCCATCATCTATGTCTGGCTCAAGATGTATATAAGAAACTCCAAAAGTCAATCGGTTTGGACATTCACCCAACCATCCACTCGCACTTCTCAACCCAGTCACTCTTTTTTTCAAAGCAAAATCTCACCAAGTCACTCTTTATTTACTTACGCTTTTATTCATCATGAAGTTCAGCCTCTTCTCCCTCGTTGCTCTGGCCACTTCGGCCATGGCTGCTCCTGCTGCTCAGGTTGCTGCTCGTCAGGTCCCAGCTGTCCCGGCTTCTCCCAACGGAGCTGTCACCCAGGTTGAGAGCATCGCCACCTCTCAGACCGTCACCAAGACAGTGACCAAGAAGATCACTGCTGTCAGCGTTTCCAACACTGGCGGTGTTGTCAAGGTTCTCACCATTGCTGTTGAGCAGGTCAAGAGCCAGACCACCACCATCAGTAAGCCAACCAACGATAGAGTTCGGGTTGCATAGATTGCTAACAACATCTTCAGAGGAGGTTATCACCAAGGTCAAGTCCAACGCCATCTCCAAGGCTGCTGCCGTCAAGGTTGTCACTGCCGAAGTCCACTCCCTCAACGAGCTCCTCACCGCCGTTGTCAACCAGCTCAAGGATGTCGTCAGCATCAAGATCAACATCCCCGACGTTAAGGTTATTCTCGGCCTTGTTATCCAGCTTCTTCACGAGCTTGTCGGTGTCGCTAAGGAGGTCCTGAGCATCCTTGGCCTCGACAACGTTATCGGCAGCGCTTTCGAGCTCCTCTTCCAGACCGTCGCCACCCTCCTCGGCCTCGTCACCCAGCTCATCGGCGACATCGTTCCCGGTCTCGTCGACATCCTCTCCAACATCCTCGACACCCTTTCGGGCACTCCTCTTGGACCCATCATCCAGCCCGTCTCCAACATCTTCGATGGCCTCACTGGCTACCTCACCCAGGGCACTGCTTAAGCGACACGTTCAAGATATGAGACCCAGGGTATGCCGGATATGCCCCTTAGAAGACAAGACAAGCATAGAGGGAGTTTAGACAGTGGATCTGGTTCAAATCATGCATAATCTTAGTTAATTCAATGCTGTATATTAATTCATACGACCTCTTTGCCAAAGGAATGTCCATAACTCCGTCTCCTGTTGCCATTAACGTCTCAGGCATTAGTCCATTATCATCTCGCGCCCATTCATGCATTATTAAATATAACCTCATGTGTTGCGAAATCTTAGTTGCAAACAGTCTTGTAGCTGCTGAAATGAGAAGAAGTCTCGCGACACTGGTCATCCTTGACAGTCTTCTGTCCACGCTTGCAGTTGCTGTCTGTGAAGAGAAGAACTATGCACATGTCAGTAAGTCTTACATCTTTAGGGGTGAAGTAGTTCTTACGCTTGCAGCCCTTGGCATGCTCATACTGGCTCACAGACCTGACCTTGTCGGTGAACTTGAAGCATTCATTGAGCTCATCACGATGCGTAGTCAATTCACCGAGGTTTCCGTTGTTGTTGTCGCCTCCGCAGTCTTTGGAGCTCCAAATGCGGGCAGAAATGACGTTGAAGGGAAGATCTTTAGAGGCAGGCTCAGCTGCGACGCCCATGGCGAGAGCAGCAGTGGCGATGATGGTAGCAAAATGCATTTTGGTGGTTGAAATGTGAAGATGGGAGAGTGTGAGCTAACTTAGTGCTGTAGTGCGGGGTGAGTGATTGATTGATGGCGGTTGAGTGATGATGAGAGTTTGGTCTATTGCGGGAATAGAGTCGACTTTAAATACAATTGAGATGGTCAACGCAGCATTACATTCTACTAAGGCAACAATGGGTTAAGGGAGAAGATCACTACGTCAAGCCTGTGACTGTAAGTGTCTGATGCTTCTGGAAGTACAGCTGAAAATTGAAGCCCGATACAGAACCAGCCGCGATACGAGCTGCGCTGTCAGCGCTAGCAATACAGCAGTGTGAGCCCACTACAGCTCGTATCGTTTCCAGCACACGGCCAAAACCGATGAAGCAAACGCCTTTCCCAATCATTTTCACAGAGGATTAACTCGGCTGCTATCAGAGTCGATCAGTGGAACTTGAGAAGTATGCAGCAGGTATCATGTGCCGGGGATGGACTGTGCCGTGTCAACACACCATGGCCCTGTTGGGACGATCCATGTGATGCTGGTGATGTCAAATACGAGCAGTGACTGTAACCCTCTCGAAGATCTCTCTCACTTCACAACACAGCACAGCACAGCACAGCACAGCAAGGCGATGCAAATCTCGTGTATGTATCAGACAGAACCTCAGAATCAGAATTTAGGGTATCCATAAGTCCTATCCTATGCTTATCCATTTTATGACGCGGCCATCTCCATGCCTCCCGATTGATCGCCTCCAAACGTCGATACCTAAATTTAGTAGTCACGGCTAAAAACTCCGACCCCACGTCGAGATAGTTTACATCATCGTCCCCCGCATTTCCCGCCGATAATCCGGTTATGATGGAATCTCACGATACTCATCATGCGGGAGCCGGTTCATCCGCTGATTCTGCTTCCACGCGTCACATCGTCAAACACGACGTATCTGCAATGCAACATGAACCAAAGTTCTCGAAAGTCGGTCACGCTTCTGTTCGGGTATCACAAATCTTGGCTGCCTTGATCCATAAGGTTCTGGAACTCCGCTTATTCATATAACCATGTTTGGATAAGCATACGAGCTAGACCTTTTGCTGTTTTATTTTTAATCTTAGGCTTCTATTGACGACGGATTCACAACACCCTCCGCCCACCCGGTCTTGAGAGTATTCATGTCTCGTTTGCTTGCAGGGTTATCAGGTGGCACAGACAAGGGCGGCCGATGATGCACTAGCGGTATGCAGTTATCACTATTTTTCTGGGAACAGTCTATTTCAATACATGATATATAGTGATACAAATGTCTTACAACTCTATCCTCATCTTCACCGTCTTCTGCAGCAGCACCAAGCCAACCGTGTTATGCGTTAGGGAGAGCGACCTTGAAAGCTGGCATGTTGGGCTTGCACCTCGTACCAACGTCTGGAAGAGTGCCGTCAACAAAGTAAGCGGCAATAGCATCAAGAGTACAGTTAGAAGCATGCGATGTGACTCCATGCTTTAAACAGTTAGCTTGAAATTCTCAAAATGAAGGGGAAACACTTACACCAACTCCCTCATTAATCAGTAGTCGACTCTCTCTGAAGCGAGAAGAAACTTGCCAAGCATGGTTAAGAGAAGTAATAGGATCGTTTGCGTTGTTGACAACAAGAACTGGGAAGCTCGTGTTGACGTTTCGAAGCGTGTTGGTATCAACGCCCTCAGCAGCGTCGAACTTCCAAGCAGCGCAGGCGACATAGTCAGCAGCGATGGCATCTCCGAAGGAGCTTCCAGCGAGATGAGCTTGGTACATAGAGTAGAGGTCCTCAGGGTTGCTGACACGGAACGAAGACTCGGAGCAAGCAATGCCCTGGAATGCGTTGGTACCAAGGTTCCACTCAGATGTATCCTCCTTGTAGATGCTGAGAGCCTTCTTGTAGTCTCCGTCGAAAGCGTAAGAGAGAATTTCCACCACTGAGGGATAGTTGAACGGGCTTGACAGCAAGTTCATGATACCGTACTTCAACTG